AGTGCCTCCCTCCTGTGCTTTATTCCTACCTCACTCTTCTTTGGAAGGCTACGATGCCTAAATTGTTTTCTCTATGTGTAACTTGTGGGCCGGGGGTTAGATGAAAATGGACTGGCTGTGTCTATGAAATTATGTGTCAAATATGAACAGTCTCAAGCAGAAAAGAGCAGATAACTAAAAAAACAATTGATTTCCCATAAAAGACCTTTCTCATAGATAAAATGACCAAACTAGAATGATACTGGGGGGGTGGGGGGTGGTGAACTAGCCCTTTAAGGAATGAGGGCTTAGAAAGCTTAGCTAGTATCTTAAAAAAAAAAAATGTTGGTTAGGCAGTGCTTTTAGTCACAGTGCTCAAAAAGCAAAGGCAGGCAGATCTCTGAGTTTGAGGCCAGCCTGGTCTACAGAGGGAGTTCCTGGACAGCCAGAGAGCTACACAGAAAGAAACATTGTCTCAAAAACCAAACCAAACCAAAACCAAAAAACGTTTTATGTAGCACTGGAGTGGGGCTGGCCTGGAAAGCACTTAGTAGACCAGGTTGGCTTCAACTCAAATACTTCTACCCTAAGTGCTAGGATTAAAGGTCTGCACCTTTATTATCTTCAACTTAAGCTACCAGTACACACTATAAAGAACCTAATGAATAAACTTCAAAATTATTAATTCTAAAATTATCCTCCCTTTTAAAATTACCTTCACCTAGTTTCTCTTCTGGTCCCAGCCACTTTGGGAGCCACAGGTATTCAGATATGGCCATTCCAGGAACCACACACACCACACACAATCAATCCCAAAAATGGCACAAAAATGGCATCAAGAAACCCTGGTCACAAAGATATGAATCTCCTAAGAGGGTGGCCCCCAGTTCCTAAAGAGCATGTGCTTTGCCTAGAAGCACAGAAGAAAGGCCTGAAAATGATGCAGGCACACAGTGCAGACAACGAGTCAAGTGCAGATGCTACAGGGCCAGCCGCAAACTCAGCCATCCTGCTGTCACTGCTCACCCAAGTCTGGGAAGCAGAGTAGAAGCTACATGGCCAAGGGTCACAGGCTCTGTGAACCAAAGCCCAAAGTTCAAACCAAGGCAAAGGCCTCAGCACCAGCTCAGGCTCCCACAGGTGCCCAGGCCCCTGTGAAGTTCCATAGAAAAGGTTTCTGTCTGCCACCGTGAAGACAAATGGACAGGTGTGACACACCTACACACTATTTGCAGATGGTCAGAACTCTATGCTGTTTTTACAAATAAACTTGAGGCAAGATCTGTTAAAAAGAATTACCTCCACCTTTGCCTCCTATTGTTATTCAAGTCCCCAAAGACGCTAGCCCATCTCTGATCTGATTTTTAATTATATGTATGTGAAGGGTGGTGCACATGAGTATAGAGCCTACAGAAACCCGCAGAGGGTGCTGTCTCCTGTACCAGGATTTCAAGGAAAGATCATTCCCTTCCTCCACGATCTATGACTCTTGACTTTCCAATTCCTCCCCCTCCCCAATCTCTTCAATGCTCCGGGAGTACAAGGGAACCTGGGCTGCCAAGGTGCCTTGGGTAGGAAGGTTCTCACACACAAATAGACACAGACCTACCTCCATGGGGAATAGTAGGTAAAAAGAGGGCAAGTCATTAAAAAATACAGACATTTCCAGGTGTGGTGGCGCACACCTTTAATCCCAACATGTGGGAGACAGAGCCGAGCTGGTCTCTGAGTTCCAGGTCAGTCAGAAGCTTCAAGGTGAGACCCTGTCTTAAAAAAACAAAAACAAAAAAAACCCAAAAAAACCACAAACCACAGAATCCCGAGAGATCAGTCAGCGCTGCTCTCATGGCAGTTCTCCAGTTAGCCAGGTCTACTGCTGGAGTCAGGGATCAGAGACAGCTTCAAAAGAGACTACTAAGGCACCCCTAGTGAAAATCAACAGCAGTAACTCAAAGACTAATGAGCTGATGAACCTCTGGGCACCTCCTCTGGGATCGAGGGTTTATTCATCAGTTACTAGAAAGCTCTCTTAGGATGGGTAGTCTCTGGGGCGGAAATGCAACAGCCACTGGACTCCCTGTCACAGGCCACTGATCACACCAAAAGGCAGAGGAGGCAACTTCCCCATCCGGAACGTGCCGCACTGGCCTCAAACTTCCTATATACAAAAGATGTTCTAGTACGTGAGAACTACAAGTTCCAGCTATTCCCTCCAGGAACACAAACACAAGGACATAACAAAGTCTCAGCTATGCCACTAGTGACACTATGTGAAGGTCACATAGTAAAAGCAACACACAATCATGAGTGAAAAGCCATTAATGAATCTTCCAGCCCAGCCCAGCCACCCTCTAAAAAGCAGCCTCAAGAAAAGGCAGAAGATAGACTGGCTAGACAATTCTAACCACCTCCAACTCCAGAACCACAGACCAAGGAGAACTAAAGGGTTATTATTAGTATATCCTTTAAGCCACTAAGTTTTAAACTGGCTTGTCATGAACTAAGATAATAAACAAAGCTGCAAAGCTGAACAAAAAAATTTACATTTTAGAAATAGAAATAGTTGATTCAATTAAATCTTTTGTTTTTGTTTTTTGAGGTTTTGGGTTTTGTTTGTTTGTTTGTTTGTTTTTGAGACAGGGTATCGCTACTGTGTAGCTCTGGCTGTCCTGGAACTCACTAGAGCAGTCTGGCCTTGAACTCACAGAGATCCACCTGCTTCTGCCTCCTTCTAAATGTTGGGATTAAAGATGTGTGCCACCATGCCTGGCTTCGATTAAGTTTTACCGAAATTCTTTTTTTGGGTTTTTTATTTTTTATTTTTTTTTTTTGAGATAGGGTTTTTCTGTAGCTTTGGAGCCTGTCCTGGAACTAGCTCTTATAGAACAGGCTGGCCTCGAACTCACAAAGATTCGCCTGCCTCTGCCTCCTGAGTGCTGGGATTAAAGGCGTGCGCCGCCACCACCTGGCTACAGAAATTCTTTTAACTGTAGTGGATGTGAATTCAAGACCAGCCTGGTCTATATAACAAGTTCCAGGACAGCAAGGAATACATAGAAAGAACATGTCTCAGTATAGCTCAGTGGTGGTGGGGCTTTGCCTGAATCTCTAACAATAGCAGTGCATTGCAGAACAGAACAAAACAATACAGAAGATAGACCTAAACAATAAAATATCTCATCTCCCAGACAGTTGTAAATTAGATGAAATATGTATCCAAATATATAAAGAGCTATTTAAAAACATCAAAAGATAAAAGCAGACATCTTACCACAGAATGTTTACACATGGCTCAAAAGCACTAACAAGATGTGTAATGTTATTTCTGACCAGACAAACACCAATCAGAATCACAGTACTGATCACTAACGGCTGTCATAACAGAGACAACTGTGGGGGGTGACAGAGCCTTCAGCTGCTGCAGGACTTCACATGGTGGTGTCACACGGTGCAGCTACTGTGGAAAAGCTGAACAGTGCCTAGGAGTCAGAAACTCAAACCCCAAGTATGTAGGGAGTTTTTATTTCCCCAAGAGAGATGAAATAAATCTATATAAAAACTAGTATATGAGTATGTAATATAACACTATTATTCAGGATAGCCCAAAAAAATGAGAACACAAATGAAGACTAACTGATATACTAATAAACAGAAAATGATGGAATATAATTAATTCAACAGAGAAAGAAATTGGGGTCAGTCATGGTGGCACATGCCTTTAATTCCAGCACTCAGAAGACAGAAGCAGGACAGCTCTCTTGAGGCCAGCCTAGTCTACACCCTGGAATTTAGTCTTGAACTTGCAAAAACCATTGTGATCATGTTTATAAAGCAAGCTCAAATGGAAAACTCACAGCAATAAAATAAGTGAGTGGCTGCTATGGTTAGGGGAAGTGGGACATAACTGCTAATGGGTACCAAGCTTCTGTGAAATAGTCTAACATTACATTGCAATAACTTTTCACATGACTCAGGTTGAATTATATACCGCAAATGGGTGAATTTCACAGTTCCTTAGTGTAATCTCAAAGTTTTTAAAAGAAAAACAAAATGTATATCATACACCCACAGAGCAATCCATAAGCTTGAAACTTGCTCTTCCATACACACGTGAACAGAAATACGCTTCCATCTCTGCTTCAGTTTCACTTCATTTTCATCATTTTGCATGATTTTTTTTTTAAAAAATGGATTAGTTACTTTATTGATTTAGAGATGGTCTCACTTGTAGCCCTGGCTAGCCTAACTTGATATATAGACCAGGCTGGCCTCAAATCCACCTGCCTCTGCCTCCTAAGTGCTAAGATTAAAACCATGCACCACCATACCCTGCTTTAAATTAAAACTGTGTGGGGGTGGGGTGGGAATGGGAGTAGGTAATATACACGAGAGTGCAGGTGCCTGTGGAGGCCAATCCCATGGAGTTGGACTTTTAGGCTGCTGTGAACCATCCAACATGGGTACTGGGAACTGAACTTGAGTCCTCTTCAAGAACAGTATGGTCTCATAATTGCTGAGCCATCTTTCTTGTTTCACTTCTAATCTCCACTCCTGGGAACTAACACATTAGGAAAAGGTCACCTTAAGACCATGGTGCTGCGCCAGCCTGGAAATTCTTCCAATTCCACCTGGGAAGTTTCAATCTCAACTTTACCAAACATTGCCCACCCCTCTGAACAAAGGAACATCAGGGATGTGTAGGCTCTGGGAGCACAACGCCAGCCTCTCCTTCCATGGGAGCAGTGGGATCCAAGGAGCTCTCTGTAGGCACCACAGGGACCCCGACAGACATATGACAGGGTCAGTAATGAGGCCAGGGTCAGAGGCAGGGCCTGTGGCCTCAGTGCTCATCCAGGAGTCTTGCCTATTCCATGAATATGGGAGGTTCTGGAGTGTCAGCTGTATCCGAGATCAGCAAGCAAGCACTCCCCTCTACAGGATCTGCATAGAGGGGCCTCAGTATTGGCAACACTCCCCTCCTGGAACTGCTCTGCTGGGGACTTTGGCCAGCAGGGTCTTACCCGGGTCTTGGCCTTCAGGAACACATGACTCTCCATATCCTTGCTAGATTTACTGTGGGCCACACCAGCTTTCCTCATGGCATCCTCACTGAAACACAAAAGAAGAGATATTTACATACACTAGCAGGTCTCCCTGCTAGACAGCTGCTGTCCTGGGGAAGCCAACCTGGCTGAATCCTGGAGAGGAATGAAGGGAGAGGCACTCAGCAGAGCAGTGGCCAGAGTTAACAAGAGTAAGGGCAGGACCAGGAGAGGAGGGAGCAGGAAGGTGATACCATAAAGAAGAAAAGCCCTTGAGCATGAAAGACAAAGGGACTGTCCCAGAGATGGCTCACAATCAGCACTGAGACCACTGTTAATTCAGTTACTGGGTGGCCAACCAGCCCCTATTTCTAGGCCTGAGTGACCTGAGCCCCTGCCCAGCTCTACATTTGAGCACAGTGGGACTGCAATTCCAGATCCTCCCCTGCAAAATGAAGAGTCCACAGTCATTATCCATTCCCCCAAACGCAAGAATCTGTGTGCAGCAATTTATGTTTGCCTACTAGAGCCAAAGAGAGCAGCTCCAACTGCTAACGACTAAGAACAACAGAAGACAGTGCACACCAATATAAAACAGCAACAAAGCATCTAAAATAATTTTATACACAGATATAAAAGGACTATCCTAGTAAAGGTTCTACTTCACACTGTGGACCAAACAGAGCTCTGAGAGTGCACACGGCCACCCTCTACCTGTACACACATAGAAAGAACAGGTAGGGGCTGGAGAGGTGGCTCAGTGGTTAAGAGCACTGGCTGCTCTTTCAGAGGCCCTGAGTGTGATTCTCAGCACCCACATATGCCTCACAATCACCTGTAACTCCAGTTCCAGGAAATATACCTTCTCTGACCTCTGAGGGCACTGCATGCATATGCATACATTCATCCAAGCAAAACATTCGCACACATAAAAGAAAATACGTATCTTTAAAAAAGAAAGAGTACGTATGTATCTGTTAGAAAGAAGCCTATTAACTTGTGGCCCTGAGGCCTGGAGCCTGGTTACTCTGCTCTTCTCGCAACCTGTCTTTTCTTTGCAGCACTGGACTTGCTGAAGCTCTGACTTGCCAGGTGCCTGCTTGCAAGGCATCCGGGTGTAGAACAGCTGTGTGAAGAGAAAGGTCCCTGGAGCCACAAGAGACATGGGGGTAATGAAGTAGAACAGTACCAAGAATCAGTTCACGGGACGTGTAGGGACAGACACATGCAGGAATAGGGCCACTCTGAGGCTGCAAGGCTTCCACATTGGAAAAGAAAACATCACCTGGTAGGTGATAAAATCACTGAGATGAAGCAGACCTATATTCAGAAGCATGCGTAGAACCCAAATAACCTATAGGCTCACCTGCCCAAGGAACAGGCAACCTCCTGGGGTTCTCGGAGTTGTAGTTCTTGAAAAATAATGACAGAGCTTCATGGGAAGGTACGGCGGCCACAGAAGCCCCAACAACACAAGTCTTAGGGCCACTCAGCTGGAAGCTCCAGGGAATATTCCTGAACAATTTCCACCTGGGTCAGTACTTAATACTGGGTATAATACTTAGTACTGGGTCAGTACTTAATACAAGCTTGCTTTTGACCCCAATGGTGGAACTAGTTTTTCTCTGGAGAATCTTAGGATTAACACATGCCTCACTTGTGTCCCTAGAGTCCTATCTATTCCCCTTTTTGCCTTCTGGCAAGGATAGAAAAAGGACTGAGAGGTAAACAGTCACAGAAACTTGGTAAAAATTTAGAGGTGCAGAACAGTCTCCCAACACCAGGTCCTAAGCAAGGCCAGCAAGTCACAAACTTGTGGATGAGTAGAGAGGATGAGGGGAGCAGGCATAGGAATCTGAGGGGACAAGTCACACATGGGCTCTGTGTCAGAAGCAGCTGTCACCTTAGGCCAAGCCAGACTCCTAAGAGAGCTCTCCCAAGCAGCTACCAGTTACTTTCACTAGAACTAGTTGACAAGTACAGCCTTTGCTCAGTGAGAACACCTGGCAGCTTCCTGCAGAGGACAGACAGATCCAGGACATAGCCGATTGTGGCAGCTTTAGACAAAGAAATGTGCTTGGTGATTGGCAGGCGCAGTGTACCAGTGACATGGAATGAAGGTGCCTTCCCAGCGAGAAACTACTGAGGACTTGAAGGCTAGTAAAGGAAAAAGAAAAGGCTCTTTAGTAATGACACATGACTGGTTCTGGCGACCGCACAAAAGCGAACAGAAAACTTTACTGGCTGCTTATATAGGCCCTGGCTTACATATTCCACATACACTGTCATCCTTAAATCTCCCTCAGGTCCCAGGTTACACTTTGAACAATTTAAACAGCGAGGAGACTATAAGTCTGGCCACTTGGGCAGATGGGGGAGTTACACTGTAAAAGACACTGCCAGCATTCTTTCTTAAGTACATCAGCGTTTTCCTTCTCATAGTTTTTACCAAGGGTTGGAATTCTATCAGAAAACCTGGAAAAAGTACGCTTCTCCTAAAAAGAACACAGGAAACTTAAAGGCAGATCAGGACTTAAAAGTGGTTGAGACCCTCTGCTCCCCCTTGAGCTGCCCTTTAAAGGCCTATTCCTTTGATGTGGGGATGGGCCTAAAGGCCTGTTGTAAATCGGGGTTGTCTCCTTTTGTTTTGGAATAGAACCTAATCAGGTCAATCTTGGTGAACAAACACTAGCAGCAGAAACTTTCCAGCAGCCCTAACTTCAGTTATGGCAGCATTTTTTTTTTCTTTCCTACAGTTCCTAACAAGCCTGGTCAGATCAGGGTACTTAGCTTCCAGTAATATTGGAGGCGGTGCTCCACATCATCAATTTCTTCTGCACCATCAGAGGCTAGGGGGACACTGCTGAGTCTCCCAGCAGAGTAGTATCACACATGTAGATGGGTGTGGGAATCAACTGTTAGAGAACCAGAGTTCAAGGAGCATCAACCCAGCTAGAGATAATAGAAAGATAATTCTATTCTGACAAACTTTGATATACTTTGGGGGGGGGGCATGATACACACCACGGTAACACACACGACAACACACACAATGACACCACATAGACAGGATACAACCTCAACCGGAAGAAGCCAAATCTGCTGTGAGCTGTACAGAACAATACCATGCTCTGCCAACCTCAAATCACATTCACGGTGCCTGCAGTCTCTTCATATTTAGTAAAGCCAGACGCAAACCGTATTTTGAAATGTTTTTGCTTATTTCTAGTCAAGTGGAGTGGAAAGCAGCCAAGCACTCAGCCTTCCTCTTCTGCGCTGCACTTTGTCCCTGACACACCTTACCCGTGCAAGTCTTGGGTGTGGCCTGATTCAGACTCTTCCTAAGGAAAAGTTCAGGTCCTCCCTTACCATAAGACCACAGACATTGGCAGAGGCTGTAATCAGGTCTAGGCCACCCTGGAATAAACCTGGCTGCTATCCAGATCCTTCTGATCACCATGAGTGAGGCTTTGCCATCTCCCCACCCCACCCACAGAATGCGTTCCAAGCACTGTGACACACACAGCATCCTGTCTCCTCTGGGGCCAGGCACTAGTGCCCTTCTCGCTGCCACCCATCATCCTGTTCTAGCCATAGTTGCCTGGGTGTCTGGTTTAGAACGGAGCCTCCTGGGGACTGATTAATCATTACAGGCCTAGATCTCCCCTTTCACAAGAGAGACTGGAAGGTACCCTGACTTCCACAGCTGCCCTTGAAGCATGGTATATCTGAAAGGCACTGCCTGGCACTGCCTAAACAGCAATGAGTAAAACATTAAGAAACCCTGCTGGGACTAGGCATCATAACACAAGCCTTTAATCCAGTGGTTCTCAACCTGTGGGTCATGATCCCTTCAGGGGTCAAATGACCCTTTTCACATGGGTCATCTAAGACCATCTGTATGTCATATATTTACATTATGATTCCTAACAGTAGCAAAGTTAGTTATGAAGTAGCAACAAAAATACTTTTGTGGTTGGGGGTCCCCACAACATGAGGAACTGTATTAAAGAGTTGCAGCATTAGAAAGGTTGAGAACCACTGCTTTAAACCCAGCACTTGGGAGGTAGTGACAGATGGGTCTGAAGCCAACCAGGTCTATATAGTTCCACGACAGCCAGAGTTACACAGTGACACTCTGTCCCCCCCCACCCCCCAATAAACTCAGAGACCCTAACTGTACAGTGATGGCACTCTCTATTAAAGAAAGTCCAACACACAGTAACATTACTGTCTTCCCAGGTGAGGTACCAGTGAGCCCCCCAGTTCCTTCGGACAAAGCTGCCCCATTTGGAATGACTTATCTTGACTGACTTAACAGAGGAGCTCTACCACGCCAGTACAAAAGCCCTCCCATAGTTGTGCTTACAAGCACAGACCAGTCACTTCTACTTTTCTTCCCTGACTCCTCCCGACCCTTTTCCAAGTCCTGTTCTTCGGGCCCTGGCTATCACCCAAGGACCCACCCAGCTCTGTTAGGACTCTTGACCCATTCTCCTCATCACTGGCCTCCACCCTAGGCAATGCCTGGCTCCTTTGGTTCACACTGAAGGGAAAGGGTACCCACTTTTCTGGTCTCCTGCAGATGTCTAGCATAGAAGGATTTCTTTCCCCTTTGGGTGTCAGAACTCACCATCCTGAGCTCAAAAGACAGGAGCCCCGCCCTTTAAGGTTCACTTTTTATATGTGTTTTTGTTTTTGTTGGTGGTGGTTTTCTGAGACAGGGTCTTGGTCTCTCTGTCTCTCTCTCTCTTTCTATCATGAAGCTGGCCTTGAACTCAGAGATCCTCCTTCCTCTCCCCTTGAGTGCTGAGACTGAGGTCTTGGGTTTTATTGTTTGCTTTGGTTTTTGTTTGTTTTTTTTTTTTTTTTGGTTTTGGTTTATTTTGTGTTTTGTTTTGTTTTGGTTATTTTGATTTTGAGACAGGGTTCATGTAACCCAGGTTGGCTTGGAACTCACTACATAGCTGAAGATGACCTTGAAGTTCTGATCCTCCTGTCTGCCTTGCCAAGTACTAGGAATTTCTGTCCATGCTGTTTTATCTAAGTGGACTCCTGGAAAATTACTACCTGTGTATACAGTCTGTTCACCCACCTGGAATAGAAGCACACAGTTGCATGTGAGACCCTTCACCCTGAATGTTTAATAGGGTACCAGAAGACAATTGAGGAAAGGTTATATAATATCAGGATGACAAAAGGTTTTAGTAGGTTTGTCATCAGAGATAGACATTAAAGAAGGTTATCTGCCACCCATTTACCATCATCTGTCGGGGAGAAAAGGAAAGGTGTCCTTTTGCTCCATGCATTCAGGGGGCCCTGCCCACTGTTCCTACCGCCCTCTTCACAATGAGAGACCACTAGGGACTTATTCTTTGGAAAAGTCCCGAATGCCACACCTACAGGCTATAGAAGGTAGGTCCCAAGAAAAAGCTGACAGAACCCAGCAGCAAGTAGCCCAAGGTTACTGTGCTCAGACACAAGTAAAAAGACTTGGGAAGAATTACCAACAAGTATAGAAAAGCACCACCCCACCTGCTCATAGGCAAAAATAACTATTAACAGCAGTATGCCTCTATGCACAGTGCATTATTTGTGTAGGCATAAAATGTGAACATTCCTTACTGATTTCCTCAGTTAAAGGCTGGGAGCAGAAGCAGAGGTAATACAGTGTAGGGTTACAAAGCACATCTGCAGATCATTCATGTAACTCATAAGGAAGCAGCATGTACAAGACAGTATAGACAAGAGGCACATGTCAGAGGACAAGAGTCAAAGTTTGTTGCTACCTTTGAGAACAGTGTATAAATAGAGAGGGCCAATGATATTTGCAATTCACATGCATTCTAAGTTTAAGGGGCTGGGGAGATGTCTCAGTAGGCAAAGCACTTGCTGCACAAGGATGAAGATCTGAGTGCAGAGCCCAGGCCCATGCAGAAGCCAGGTACAACAGCACTCATCTATAACCACAGTGCTCCGAGTGCACAGAGAGGCAGATCCTGGAGCTTTGCTGGTCTCCAGGCCGTGAGAGACCTTGACAGAGGAACATACCTGATGTTGACCTGCAGGCTCTACACCTACACCCATGCATGTACACTCGCACGCACGCGCGCGCGCGCGCACACACACACACACACACACACACACACGAAAGAATAATAGAGACAATGTCCACTATATAGCGCTGGCTAGTCTGGAGCAATATCTACTATGTTGACTAGACTGGGCTCAAACTCCTCTAGAGATCGTCCTGCCCCCACACCTCCCAAGCACTGGGATTAAAGGTGTATACCCCATGCCCAGTCTAATACATTTATTTATTTACTTACTTTTCTTTTTGAAAGAGAGAGAGAGAGAGAGAGAAAGAGAGACTTATAGACATCTGCCTGCTTCTGTCTCCTGAGTGGTGATGGTGCATGCCTTTAATCCCAGAACTCAGGAGGCAGAGGCCAGCAGGGTCTACAGAGCAAGTTCCAAAAAGAAAACAATTAAGTTGCCTGCTGTGGTGGTTTGAATAAAAATGGCCCTATAGATGGGTGGTGGGAACACCAACTTTAATCCCAGCACTTGAGAGGTGGGGACAGGTTGGGTCTCTGAGTTCAAGGCCAACCTGGTCTACAGAGCGAGTCCCAGCACAGCCAGGGTTACAAAGAGAAACCCTGTCCTGGAAAACAAAACAAACACAAGACAAATAGAAAGTTATTTGTGGGGTGAATATCAGATAATGAAAGCTGGTTGTGGTGGCTCATCCCTTTTTCTCATCTCAATCTTCTGAGTAGAGAGGCTAAGGCTGGCAGAGTTCTCCTGGACTAGAAACTGAGATACTGTCGTTAAACAATAACCATGAATTAGTGAGCTATGATGGCTCACACCTGTCACATAACTTGGACAGCTAAGGCAGGAAGATTAAAGTAAATTTGAAACCTGGGTTGCAGAATGAGACCTTGTCTCCAAAAGCAGGGACAGGGGCACTAGGCTAGGTCGGGTGTGGTGGTTACACACACTAAATACAGCATTCGGTAAGTAAAAGGCTGACAGGCTGAGTTCCAGGTCTGTCAAGGCTGCAATAATGAGAATTTGTCTCAGAAGGATGGAGGGGATAGAGAAGGACTAGAGAGATGGTTCTGTCGTTAAGAGCACTTGCTGCTCTTATAGAAGACCCATGTTCTTTTCCCAGCACCCATCCAGAGATTCACAACCATAAGTAATTCCAGTTTCGGGGATCTGATGCCCTCTTCTGACCTCCATAAGCACCACAAGTATATACAGTGCAATATATACACACAGGCAAAACAGTCATATACATAAAATATACACATGTATGTACATATATATAATATGCAATAATACAATAAATAGTGATTTTTAAAAAGAGAAAATGCTCATAATGTATCACAGACACAGAAAATGTTTGGGGCTCGGGAGATAGTTCAGAGGTTAAGACTCTGTACTGCTCTTCCAGAAGACCGGAGTTCACTTTCTAGCACACAGAAGCTGTGTTGGGTGGCTTACAAACACCTGCAACTACAGCTCCTACAGACAGGACACTCTCTTCTGGCCTCCTCAGGTACCTGCATGCACAACCTTCAGAAACATAATTTAAAATAAATCAATTCTTTTTTGGGTTTTTTGTTTGTTTGTTTGGTTGATTTTGGTTTTTTGAGACCGGGTTTCTCTGTGTAGCTTTGGTGCCTGTCCTAGAACTTGCTCTGTAGACCAGGTTGGCCTTAAACCCACAGAGATCTGCCTGCCTCTGCCTCCTGAGGGCTGGCATTAAAGGCACACACCACCCGGCTAACATCTTAAAAGAAAAGACTTCTTAAGGTTCAAAAATTTGGAAATTCACTTGCCCAGAGTATAAATTAAAATGCCTTTCTGTTCTTAAGAACAGAGAAGTACGGGGGCTGGAGAGATGGCTCAGAGGTAAGAGCACTGACTGCTCTTCCAGAGGTCCTGAGTTCAATTCCCGGCAACCACATGGTGACTCACAGCCATCTATAATGAGATCTGGCGCCCTCTTCTGGCAGGCAAGCATACATGGAATGAATGTTGTATACACAATAAAGAAATCTTTTTTTAATTATTATTGTTATTAAAAATTTTCACCTCCTCCCATTTCCCTCCTCCTCTCTCCATTCCCCCTCCCCCTCCTCTCCAGTCCAAAGAGCAGACAGGGTTCCCTACCCTGTGGGAAGTCCAAGGTCCTCTCCCCCCCATCCAGTTCTAGGAAGGTGAGCACCCAAACAGATTAGATTCTCCCAAAGCCAGTACATGCAGTAGAATCAAAACCCAGTGCCATTGTCCTTGGCTTCTCAGTCAGCTCTCTTTGTCAGCCATGTTCAGAGAGTCCGGTTTGATCACATGCTCCATCAGTCCCAGTCCAGCTGGCCTTGGTGAGTTCCCATTAGATCAGCCCCACCATCAGAGTGGGTGGGCGCACCCCTTGCAGTCCTGACTTCCTTGCTCATGTTCTCTCTCCTTCTGCTCCTCATAAGGACCTTGGGAGCTCAGTCCAAAGCTCCAATGTAGGTCTCTGTCTCTATCTCCTTCCATCGCCAGATGAGGGTTCTTTATAAGTTACTTGAAAGGAAGTAACATGGAAGGAATGTTGTATACATAATAAATAAATAAATCTTAAAAAAAAAAAAAAGAACAGAGAAGTACACAGTGAACATCAGTCACTGTAGAGGAAAACCTGATCATTTTCTTTTTGTGGTGTTCAGGATGGACTCCGGGTTATGCATGCTGGGCAATTTCCAGCTTATTTACATTTCTAACCCTCCTGTTTCAGCTACAAGACATGAAGCTTCTCTTCTAGCAACAAACCATGCATTCTTCAGGTCAGAGAATAGAAGCTGGTAGGGACTTTGAGATAGGCAAGGCCAACATGCCCACAACCTGAACGGCGCCTCCTAGCTGTAGCTCCAGTGCTTCGCTACCCAGGAAAGGCCCTGTCCTCCCCACACAGGCCTAGCTCTCATTTGGTCTTCTGCTTCCTTGGGGTCTTTCGGGTGGTAGCAGCCCCCATCACTGCTCACCCTCTAAAGCACTGCAGCAATTCACTGCCCCCATATCCAGGTGATCTCGCCTTCGAGGGAGGAAATGCTGAGACATCAGTTGTTTGGTCACACAGCAAACACCTAGGCTCTTAGACCTCACAAGCAGCTGAGGCACATCTGCCAAACTATAGTACTTCTTCCTTTATTAGCAAACATTTGCAAGTTCCCTGACTTTAGATTCATTCATTCATTGGTGTGTGTAGGTGAAAGTGTTGAATTCGTCAGAGCTGGAGTCACAGGTATGTTTCTACAATACTCAGCTTGCTGCATGGGTGCTGGGATTGAAACTTCCATTCTCATAATTGAACAGGAAGCACTTCCAATCATGCAGGCATCTCTCCAGCCCCAGGTTCACAAGACTAAACTAGTATATTTCAGAACTGAACTATTTGCCTTCACATAGGAATGGGTATTTTGGACTCGAAGAGATCAGAGACTTGCACACTTTCTCTTCACACTTCTCTCAGCTGCTCAGCCAAACTCTCCTCCTCCTGCTCCCTCTCAGGAAGGCCAGTGAGAAAAATCAATGAGGGCTAGCCTGTAGAACAGGCAGGCTGCTGCCCTTTAAACTCTGAGCTGGTTCAATGATATGAGCTTCTGGCATTTCCAACCTGTTGGTTTAACCTCAAAAGAACTAAGGTGATGGGAGTGGTTGGTGCGGGAGAATTATCTGTATTCTGTCAATCATGTATTTTAATAAAACGCTGATTGGCCAGGCAGGAAGTATAAGCGGGTCTACCAGACAGGAAGTAGAGGCGGGGCAATGAGAATAGGATAAGGCTAGGGAGGAGAAAGCTCCCTCAGCCACTCCTGTGCAGACCACCAAAGAGGCAGGATGTAACTTGCCCGGCTGAGAAAGGTATGGAGCCATGTGCTAATGTAGATAAGGATAATGGGGTAACATAAGTTATAAGAGTTAACAAGAAGCCTGACCTAATGGGCCAATCAGTTTATAATCTTATGGAATCTTGTGCGTGATTTTCCTTGGGGTATGCCAGTTGTGGGGTACTGGGCGGGACAGAAACCCCAACAAGCCGGCCCCTCATGTTACAAGTGGTGGCGCACGACTTCAGTCCCAGCACTCAGGGAGCTCATGGTCCACACAGTGAATTTCAGGACATCCAGAGTGCCATAAGGAGACTGACTCAAACACACACACAAACAAGAACCAAGAGCTGGAAAGACCCTTTGACCTCTGACCTGATGCCAGCCTGGGGCCCAGAACTTCTCCACTGCCACCAAGCAATCACACAACATTCTGCCAGTATGGCTTTGTGGCACTGGGGCAAGGAGCCCTATCTTTAGAGATCAGAACTCACAGCTAAAATCTCATGGCATCCTGGGTGTGAGTTAAAATAAGCAGAAGGAATAGAAAGTACAGGTGACAGAGCACTGGCCAGGTGCGGCTACCTCTCAAAGGAACTAGAAATTTTTTCCAGAAATTTTTTGCCAGAACCAGGCAAGGCAGAAAGAACAGCCTCAGGCAGGAAAAAACCTACAACTCAGAACTGGACTCAGGAAAGTCTGTGTGTATGCCTACCAGCACAACAGACAGTCATGTGTGTGTGTATGTGTGTGTGTGCCTACCAGCATGATAGACATGCAGGCATTTGTGTGTGTGTGTGTGCGTGCGTGCACGCACGCCTACCAACATGACATGCAGGCATTTGTGTGTGTGCCTGCCAGCATGACAGACACTCAGTCATATGTGTATGTGCCTGCCAGCATAGCAAATATTCAGTCATATTAGAAGCACACAGGTCTGGGAGAAATGTATAGCTATGTCAATAATGGCACAACTGGGCATAGAGATTATAAAAATACTTTCCTGTCTTTCAATCCCCTAGAATGTTATCTGGTAGGGAGTAAAGCACTACACCCAAAATTCTGGCTATGTTGACCAAAACAGGAGAAAGAGGCAGGGTTGAGGAGAGAGAAGGCTTAGGAGAGGCACGGATGAGGCTGCTGCCACAAAGCCACTTCTATGAGGCCAAGGGCTTGAAGCCTGTACTCCCTCATCCCACAGCCCTCTCTGGAAAAATAAGCACAGACTGATTAAGGCAGAAGTGAGTCTCTGAGATACTTTATGGAGTAGTCTCTTGAGAGGCAACTAAACCTTGGCTCCTACTTCCTTCCCTTCTGTTCTCTAGACTACGTTTTTGGGTTTTTTTTTCTTACCAAACAGAACCACCTTAAATGATCTCTCATTCTCTTTTGTCATAACAGTCTTTTTCTTTTTCAAAAACTAAAAATAAAATTTTATTGTGTGACATGGAAGGGGGGGGGAGACAGACAAATGTGGGGTGAGGAGGTTAGTGAGTAACTTTGTAGATTTGATTCTTCCTCTCTCCTTTATGTGAGTTCTAGGATCATAACTCAGGTAGTGCCTGAACAATTTATCCCACTTTAAACAAAGACGGGGTCTAGTTGTACATAGGCTCATCCTGTATGCCTTTCAGAAGACTGTTGCCAGGGGTACTCTCAGCACCACTGCTGCTGCAACATTTCTCCTTGGAAGTATTGGTCCTGACACCCACAACCCAAATTACCTTGCACCCCTCTTCTCAGAATCAATATAGCATCAAGGCTTTCTCTGCAAAGGTGAATACCTGACCTGTGCCTCCCTTCTTTCCTCTGCAAGCTCATGTATGCAACCACACTCACACATGTACAAGTATACACACACCAAATCCAACCTTCCTTCACAGGCTTTCTCCTAAAGTATACACACACCAAATCCAACCTTCCTTCACAGGCTTTCTCCTAAAACCATCCCATCTAGTCCTATTGCCGCTATACCTCAAATTTGAATATGGATTCAAATGTAAAAGGATTGCTTTTTTAAAGGTAGATGCTGTGAAAACACCAGGTCCAACCAAACATCAGGCAAGTAACACTTCCTGACACTGCTGAATATATAAACTACTCAGAGGCTGGGCCTTTAATCCCAGCAGAGATAGGTGGATCTCTGTGAGTTCGAGGCCAGCCTGGTCAACAGGTTGAGTTCCAGGACAGCCAAAGATACACAGAGAAATCCTGTCTCAAAAAAAAGAAAAAAAGAAAGAAAAAAAATTACTCAGAACGTGTTAGAGACCATGTGCCAAGAGTCTGACTCCATTCTGACACCCACAGTCCTGAAAGTAAAGTGACGACATCCACCTTGGATTAGGTTCCCAGTACCCACACAACAGTTTACAATCAGAGGAAGCCCAGTTTGGGGGACCTGGTACACTCTTCAGGCTTCCATAGGCAATGAGTGCACATGGTGCACATATACACATACAGACAAAGCACTCATACACATAAAATAAGAGTAAAAGTAAAATTTTTTAAAGCAGAACAGAAGTCCATGCATGATGGTAGGCACCTTTAAGTCCCACATTCAGTAGACTGAAGCTGGAGTATTTAAAATTCAAAGCCAGTCTGGGCTACACAGTTAAAATTCTGTCTGAGAGGGAGGGGAGGGGAGGGGAGGAGAGAGATATTTGGGGACGCAGATTTCTGGGTAGCACGCTTGCCTAGCACACTCAAGGCCCTGGGTTCAATTCCCAGCATGCCACTCCTATACTCATGAGGTGAAGGCAGTAGGTTCAGAAGTTCTTAGTCATCCTGTCAAAGTGAGTGTTTTAAAAACAAATCATAAATAAATCATCTTTAAAGCAGAGAGACATGTTCCTATGAGAGGTATCCTCAAAAGTCAAGTGATTTAAAGGGAGAAAAGAGAAAGTAGTTGATAGTTGAAGTGAGCCTCTCACTGGGAAACAGAAAGCTCAACTCCTTTGGCTCTCTGGCACCAGAACTCTAGTTGCTTATCTATGGGACACCTAAAAGAAGAACTGACTCATCATCTTTTGTTAAAGGTGAGACCTAGTTGTGGAGCTCGGGCTAGCCTGCAAGTGCTGGAATTGCAAGTAGGAGCTGGAATCACAGACACACATTTCTCAAGAGGTGTGATGGAGCCCATTCAACCATGGTAAGATCCTGATTGATAGACCTGAACTACTTGTCAGGATCCAGTTTTTTGTTTTTTTTAAAAAAAAGACCCAGGTTGTAATGGCAGCAGCCACTACGCTGTGCCAAGTGGAGTTCAAGGCCAGCCTGGTCTATAGAATTCCACAACAACCAGGGCTACACAGAGAAACCCTGTTTCAAAAAACCAAAACAACAGTACCAAAAACAAACAAACAAGAAACCCACGGGCTGAAGAAATGGCTCAGTGGTTTAGAGCACCTGTACTTACCAAAGACCTGGGTTCAGTTTCTAGCACCCACATAGCGCTTAACAACTATCTGTAATTCTAATCCCAGGGGATCTAGTACCCTCCCTTCTGGCTTTTGAGGGCACCAGGTACATACTCAATGCACTTACATACATGCAAACAAACATTCATACACATAAAATAATTTTTTAAATCAATGTGTTAATGAGAAGGGGTTCCAGCACAGGTTCCAAAGCTACAGAGAAACCCTGTAGCAAAAAACCTAAATGAATGAATGAATGAATGAATGAACAAACGAATGAACAAATAAATGAAGCTCCATCCCATGATGTAGTAGTGAGCTACTATCCTCATTTCACCAGGGTATAGACACCCTGGAACTATGTCTTGGTAAGAAGTAGCTAAGGAAATGAACGATTTAAGATTACCAGAATAGAGTATTGCTAGTTGGTTCATCCTCATTTATGTATCCCAAGCTGATTTAGTCGGCTGACCAACATCTTCATGTGTTACTTCTGTCTTTACTCAAGCTATCACACAACAGTGAGCCCCAGCACCACATCTCAACAGGCCCACAACAGTGCTCACGAAATCTGTGTCAGACACACTCCAAAATCCTGTTCATTCTAATGCTCACGGCCAGACAGGAATGCTAATTCCAAAAGCATTCATGCTCTTCCTGCCCTACAGAGTTAAGACTAGTAGAAAACAAGTCTTCAAACTATCCTTGTCTTCACTGACTTCCAGAGACAAGGGACAGGACAGGAGGCCCACTGTCCTGGAGGAAGAGCTGCCCAGCTCAGTCACAGGAAGGATGGATGGGTCTTTCAGGCAGAACAAACAAGGCACACAGCAGTCAAGGAAAAAGTTGGGTTCATCTGAGGAGTCACAGACAACCTGATTAGATGTAGTGTGGAATGAGGGAGGGTAAGGCAGGCAGGTGCAGGCCCTGGAGGAAGGATGGACACTCAAGAGTTGAGTCTATAGGCAATGGGCAGCCATTAAACACATTCTGGGTGTCAGAACAGCTGAGGAGAGCAGGTAGAATAAAAAAAAAGTAGGACATGGGGGGCGGGTCTTTGAACTGTGTTGCTTGGTTTTGTGATCTTAACTGCCCACTTGAAGTTTGGTAAGTTCACTGTAATTCCTTAAAAAATTTCCCTTGGGTATCTAACTGAAACTATTAGCCTAAGGAATGCTTTAAGACTATGGCTTCACCCCAGCCAGTGACTGCAGCAGGCAGATAATAACGTACTCACAGTCCACAACTTTAGGATGGTCAGCACCATCTTCAACAAGCCACAGCCTTGGTCACCATCAGGCAACAGCTGAAAGATCTCTGATCAGAAAATTAATATGTCAGCTTTAGTAGGTTAATGGTAGGGCTCAGTCTGTGGTAGATCAAAGATCATCAGGAAGTTAGGTGTGGTAACTGTAATCCCAACACTAGCAAGGTAGAGAAGGTAGAACCTGGAATTCAAAGCTAGCCTGGGCTGTGTGAGACTCTCAACCCGCCTCCTTAAAGGAAAAAAAGGCATTAGGGGTTCATCCTCTACTCTCTAAGGGTCTATGGAGAATTCCTAACATTATAAATTGGAGACTCAGTAACGGCAGGCTCCTCTCTAAAGGCTTCCACTGTACTTGGCTAGGATTAATTTTTAGCATCCCCTTACTCAGTTTCATGAAATGGACACAACCTTACTCTCCCAGATATTAAAATGTGATTTGCCTTTAATATCACAGAATGGTCCAATCAACACCTGTCTGTAATATGAAGAGGAACAACTACAACAGCAGTGAACTCTTCTCTAGGCCTGTCATTACTTTACACCCTGGAACAAGTGCATCCAGCTCTGAGAATGACGGTTGGCCCAGGCCTACAATGTCGGCATCTCCAGACCAGGTCAAATTACCCAGCCTACCCAGTGATACCCTATCACGAAACCAAACCAGGGAAAAAGAAAAAAGAGGTGCCTGAAAACACAAGTCAACTCAACACAGATGGGTGTGGTACGATCAGTTCAAGGCAACCTCTGGCACTTAATGTGTTCAACAACAGCCTCAGCTACATAAGACCCTTGTCTTTTTTGTTTGTTTGGTTTTTCAAGACAGTTTCTTTGTGCAGCCCTGGCTGTCCTAGAACTTACTCTGTTGACCAGACTGGCCTCAAACTCACAGAGATCTGCCTGCCTCTGTCTCCCTAGGGCTGGTAGTGCTGGGATTAAAGACATGTGCCACCATGAACAATGACACTTTGGTGGAGAGGAGAGAGAAAGAAAGAGAGAACACCAAAGACATTTTACCAGGACACTAATACATGCCTTTCCCCAGCTAAGCTACTCCTTCCTGCATCTGTTTAGAAATGTACTACACTAAAAAGTACCACAGATAAAAGCCTCAAGAGTAAGATGACAGACTCAAAATTCAGTCAGCAGGGAAAATTTTCCCTTGACATAAAGTTAATGATCATTTTGCAAATATTCTATCAGCTTTTATGTTCTCAGTAACAGTGCTCAGTTTATCAAAGTTCTTACAGTATATCAGGGAAATTAAGAACAGGGAGCAGGCTAGGGAGATGGCTCGGTAAGTAAAGGACTTGCTAGAAAGCATGAGGGCCTGAGTTTGAGCTATAGCACCTATGTACAAAGATAGATACACAAACTGTGACTCCAGAGCGGGGAAGGGAGAGAGAGGAGGATCCTTGGGGCTTGCTGCTAACCTGTCTAGCTGAATCACTAAGTGAGAGACACTGAGAACAATATCAATTTCTAGCTTACACATCCATACGGAAAACTGAGAAGTAACTGATGAAGCCCTTGCATTCACTCACTGCTTATGCGTTTGCTGTGAACCTACCTGATGCTAGGTATGGACATGTCAGGACAGGTGCATACTTGTTCTCTAAGAGCCTGAAGACCAGGGACATGCAACATGAATCCGTCAAGGAAGCTCCACAAAACCCTGCTCAGGAGGATCTAAGAATAGTTTCTCCGGTGGTTCTGCAGGAAGTAGGGGTACTTCATTAAGAGTCAGTAAGAACCAACCAATCATTTCCTACCTACTTTCCTCCTTTGGATTTTTATAGATGTCACTGCCTCAAACTTACTGGGTTTAGGAATACTACCTTCATCAACCCAAGCCAGAGTATCTCTAATCACTGTGAGGTCACTGCCAAGAGTTTTCTACTCAGTCAGTCCCCAGACCCTACAAAGTTTGCACAGAAGTCTCTTCAGTGTCCCTCCCAGCATCCTTGTGAGACAAACCAGACTAGTATCATTTCACAGTTGAAAGACCTGATTTGAAAAGTCAAGCAGTGCCAAGGTCACAAAAGCAATAAGTAGAGGTGGGGCAGATTCCAGTTTCACAATACATAACACAACGGTCACTGTAACAGGAGAGGTTGACCAGGTGGTCCCCAGGAAAACACTTCCTCCTGTACTCTTCATGCTGCATGGGTCTGGATTTCCCTAGAAACTAAAAAGGGCTGAGCTAGACCTACCAGAAGGGGACCCACTTTAGATAAGGGGAGGAATGGATCCTAAATATCTGACACCAAAGCAGACATGGAAAGGAAGAAAAGCAGCTTATGACAACAGTGGAGTCAATCTTTAGTCACATTTTCTGAACACCCTAAATACTTAGTAACAGTTGTTTTACAAAGAGACAGTGGCTAGAGGTACAGTTTGTAGCCGAATATATGCTGAGCACAGCCAAGACCCTGGGCTCAATCTCCAGCAAGTAAAAACAAAGAAACAAAGGAAGAACTTTGAATGTTAAAGTGGAAAAACCAAAGAAGCTGGACCACAGGGGGAGCTACAAAAACAAACAAACAAAAAAACAAAAACAAAAAAAAACCCCACAAAAGCCAGAGTATAGGACAGTGCACTGCCTAATGACAGCATTGACCCTCATTTGTGCAATCTAGGAAAGGCAGACCAGTGAAAGGCTAAGACTAGATCTCCAATTACAACTGTCAAACTTGCATTTTCCTCAATGGGAGATGTTTGCTCTCTACTAAAAGTTTCCAGAAACTTCCCAGTGTTTAGGTAGCTACACATTCCCCAAGGACTGACAACTGAACCCAGGGCTTTCTGGGAAGTACGTAAACGATCTCCTTGTGAGCTACTCCCTACAACTTTTGATGTGCTCACCCAAATGTGGTAGGCAAATGTTGCCCCTCCACAAAGTACAGGCCCTGGGTTTTCATTATTCTTCATCTATTATAAATCACTAGGATTTGAAGCACTTCCCAAAATGGCCAAATTTAAACAACAGCATAAACACTGGAGGAAGTCAGAACAAAAGGTGTGTAGATTAACCCAATACAAATCCTCTCAAATTCTATGAACACAAGAAAGTGAGTCACCAGCAACGTAAACCCTGGAGAGAAAAGAAGCAAACCCAGGAAGTGAGAGCACCCATGAGCTCACTTAGTTTTTTGTCAACTTGACCCAGGCTAGGGTCATGTGGAAAGAGTGGAACATCAACTAAAAAATGCTCCCATCAAATTGGCCTGCAAGTCTGTGGGAGAATTTTGTTGATTAATGATTGATACGGGAGGGCCCAGCCCACTGTGGCAGTGCCCCCACTGGGTAGGTGCTCCTGGGTTGTAAAGAGAAGTAGACTAAAGGAGCCACGGAGAAGAACAAACAAACAGCACTCCTCCAGTCTCTGCTTCAGTTCCTGTCTCCAGAGGCCTGCACTATAGATGCATATGTTTTGTTTGGTTTTGAGACAAAGTCTCTACATAGCCCTGGCTGTCCAGGGACTCTATAGTCCAGGCTGGCCTCAAACTACAGAGCTCTGCCTGTCTCTGCCTCCCAAGTGCTGGGATTAAAGGCATGTGCCACTATAGCTCTTCAATTTCTACTTACTTTTTACATGTTTAAAGGTTTTGCCTGCATGTATGGAGATGTACCAGTTTATGCCTGGTGCCTGCTCAAGTCCGAAGAGGCTTTGGAGTCCTTGGAATTGGAGTTATGGATGGCTATGAGCCACCATGCAGGTGCCTGAAATCTAACCCTGGGGCCTTTGCCAGAGTAACAAGTGGTCTTAATCGCTGACTGAGTCATCTCTCTAGCCCCTCCTGCCCTGGATGAGTTCCTGCTTTGGCTTTTCTAGATGGTGGGGATAAAGTGTAACACGAAATAAACCCTTTCCTCCCCAAGTTGCTTTTTGGTCATGGTGTTTTTCACAGCAATAGAAAGCAAACTAAGACACCTGATCATTCTTAAAAAGCAATTTTGATGCGCTCACCCAAATGCGGTAGGCAAATGTTGGCCAGTTCCTGTGACTATCCTTCATCATACCCCAAAAGGGACTTACAGATGTGATTAAGGATACAGACAATAACATCATGTTGCATTATTCTAAACTGACCTGTGAAATGCAGAGAATGCTCTCCAAGCTAACCTTGGAGAGTCAGAGAAACCAGCCAATGTGTTAGAATAGGCCACAAGAAACAGTCTCCACTGACCCATGGCAAGTGGCCAGGAAGGAAAGAGGATACCTCGGTTTTACAAGTGTTAAACAGTAGAATTTGGCCAGCAATTTTTTTTTTTTATTGGTTTTGGTTTTGGTTTTTTGAGGCAGGGTTTCTCTGTAGCTTTGAAGCCTGTCCTGGAACTAGCTGTTGTAGACCTGGCTGGCTTCAAAATCACAGAGATCTCTGCCTGCCTCTGCTTCCCGAGTGCTGGGATTAAAGGTGTGCGCCATCACTGCCCAGCATGGCCAGCAATTTGAATGGGATTGGAAGTGGGTTCTTCCCCCAATGGTTCCATCAAGAAGTGTATATTAACTGAGCACACCTTTAATTCCAGCACTCAGGAGGCAGAGGCAGGCGGATCTTTGTGAGTTCAAGGCCAGCCTGGTGTAGTAGAGCTAGTTCTAGGACAGCCAGGGCTACACAGAGAAACCCTGTTGCAAAAATCTAAAAGAGTGTATATTGCCAACATCTTGATTTCAGCCTTTTAACTAATACTCACCAAATCTTACCTGAGCCTCTGACATAAAGAAATGGCCAGATATAAGTTGTTACTACAGCAAAATAAAATAATACACAAGCAGCAATATCTTACAAAGGTAGAGGACACCTCAGTTCCCACAAGGAAGTTGCATTATGATATATCCAGTACGCTTCAGTCTTTCCCCAGACCTCAGACACTTCTACAGCCTACTATCTGTGATGACAACTCACTACTCCAGAGCTACCTGGTTTTCCCCCAAAAAATCTTTGCCCTGGGGCTCAGATCATTCCTAAGACTTCATTCCTAAGATTTCATGTAGATATAACTCAAGTGCACCAATAAAGCACTTGTGGGCTGGAGCCTTGGCTCGTGTTAGAACACTTGGTGGCTGCTCTTGCAGAAAATCCAGGTTCAATTCCCAGCACTCATAAAGCAGCTCATAAGAACCCCTGTAACTCCAGGCCTGGGGTGGGAGGGGACGGACCATACCCTGACCTTAGAGGGCACCAGTCATACATGGTACACTTATATACAGGCAAGCAAAACACTCATACATACAAAATAAAAAAAAAACTTATTTGCTGAACTGTCTGCAAACTGTCCAAGGGTTATTCTGTGGTAGTACCAAGCCACTGATATAGTACCCAATCCTTCTGATGTACTGATGCTTCCCTGCATTTAGCCCAGCCTCCTTCTTTCCACACTGCTTCACCCCACCCCCTCCAACCAGTAAGTTACTAATGTGTCCACACATTCCCCTTTCTCTGGAATGTGTCTTCCTCTTTCAATTTCCATCATCTAATGCGGGTCTTTATAATCCCTGCCAACTAGGTCTTCTACAACCAACTCATGAAACCATATGATGGACAGTGATCTAGCAGTGAGAATGTGAGTGAAAACAGACAGAACCCCCACCAACCCCTCCAGAGCAAAAAACTCCCCCAAACTGCCTACTTGGCCTCACTTGGGTCCTTAATTCATCTCCAGGGACTCAGGGACCTTCCCAAGAGTAATGCTGGACCACCTCAAGGCAGACCACATGTAAAACAGATACAAGTTATTGCTCAGCATCTCCATCACTAACCATGCCAGCATCTGCTCAATCTCCTTGACTGTTTTGCTCCCATGACGGAGAACTCTCCACCTACAACAGTCCTTTATGATGATTTCCCAGTCATATGCTGGGAATGGTGGCCTGTCACCCTCCTACTTCTCTTTCTAGAGCTCAATCTGTCACCTACTCTAGCAGGCTGCTCCAGTCCTACTCATCTAACACTTTAGCGCCCACAACGTGATTGAGCATTGACACAACTGTACTATCTGTTCCTTTACCGGCAGTACCAACCCTCAGGGAAAAGGCTGTGCCACAAGCAATTTTCTAAACACTTCCGGAAGCTCAATAAAAACGGCTAGGTGAAACAAACACTCAGCAATGCTCCCTGAGCAGAGGGCACCCCAGCCCTTCATTCCCTAATCCACAGCTGCTTCCTTCCACCGTTCGGCCAACTTCACACACTGTGGAAGAGAAGGGAACACTATTCTCTGTCCCCACTGCCCACGGTCCAAACACCTACTAACCTTCCAATAATCCTTCAGTTTTGTCTTCCACCTACCCTCCGCCAACTCACTGATGTGGTTTTCGTTTTATTATTTTTTTGTAATAAGCCGCTCGGCACCCCTGGTAAATCTGGAGCTGCCGCTTTCTTTTTCTGTATTCCGTGAGAATCTAAGCAGAGGAAAAATTGCACTCAAGCACACAAATGACGAGGCGGCTCACGACGATGACTCACTAGCTAGGGTTACTGGGTTTGCAGAGTTTGACCCCAGAAAAACTAGCCAGCAGTCCCTGCCGCCCCAGACAGGCCAGGGAGACGGCAGAAGGATCCCCGCACGTTCCCGGCGCCCAGCGGACCCCGCGGGTTCCCGCCAGAGTCTACTGGGGGTCCAGCCCGGCCTCACCCTCCTCGCGGCGAAGGTCCGACCACCCGGTCCTCGCCCCCGGCCACACTCACATTTGGCTAACCAGTTTCTGCCGAAAGGCGGCGCTACGCCAGTCGGTCTCCTGCCCCGAAACGTCCATGCTCGTAGCCCGTGCCCCTCGCCCCCACCGCCACCGCCGCCGCTGCCTCTAACACAGAGCCAGGCCCGAACGCGGAAGTCGAGAGATCCCGCTGCCGGGCTACACCGGAAGTACAGAGAGGTTGTCGGAAATGGAGTCTGGCCTCCTTGTACGCATGCGCGTGCGCGCACACCCTCGGTCTATAGGACATCTACATATATTTTGTTGTCAGTGTTGAGGGCGGCTAATTTTACTGTTGGAATAATTGCTAATGGATAATACACTTTTTTCTAAACAATGTTATAGTATTGGCATTTTAATATCTAGTTTAACCTATATGTACATTCTACAGCTATCAAGATAAAACTACTATTGTCACCACCAAAAAACAAAGTCAGATTTAAGATCTTTGCCCATTGAATCAGTAAGCTTAATATTTAAAAGAAAAGCAAAAGCCAATGCCTTTCAATGTTTTCTCTGTAGTTCATATATCTTACTTCTTAGTGGTTCGTACCTTAATACATTTTTGAGTATTTGACCTGGTAAGTGTTTAAGGGTTGCTGTGCTTGTCTGTCTTGAGTTCACCTTTCAATGTTTACATGACTTAAGTTTAGAGTAGCAATAATAAGGTAACTAACTGATTTTATGATTCTTCATTTTCCCAAACTATGTGAAGGTCATCATTTAAGAACTTTCTTTGTCCCAGCACTCAGGAGGCAGAGTCAGGTAGATCGCTGCTGAGTTCACGGCAGCCTGGTCTACATAGTAAATTCCAGGACAGCCCATGTAGAGAGATCTTGTTTCAAAAAAGCATCTGTTTGTTTATTGTTACAGAAGAAAGCACTTGGGGTGGGGGAGTGGAGCTTTTTTTGTTCTGTTTTGTTTTGTTTTTGAGGGTTTTTGTTTGTTTTTTGTTTTTTTTTTTTTGGGTGTGTTTGTTTGTCTTTGGAAAAGTCTTAATACCTGTGGGTTAAAAGTTCAGTGTAATGAACCTTAAAAAGAAAATTCAAAACTGCCAAGTATTGTGGTATTGTGGTACACGACTTTAATCCCAGCCTTTGGTACGCAAAAGCAGGTAAAATGGTATTTTCAAGGTCAGTCTGCACAAGGCTAATACAGGCTCTTTATTCAAATTTTAATGACAAATATCAACTCTCATGTCACACAACAGAGAGTTCCAAACCAGCCTGGACGACTTAGAAAGATCCAGTCTCAAATAAATAAATAAAAATAAAGAACAAGACAAAAAAAGTGGTTGTCCCTGGAGCCCCTGACCCGTGACACCCATGCATGCAAGTAGCGCTGCAGCATCAGAGACTGGAAATGTCCTGCACCCTATCAAGATCTCCAGGATAAGCGATGCCAATGTAAGGGTGAGAAACAGATGCTGGTCTTGGACAAAACCAAGTTCCTCGTACTGGATCACATCTACACAAGTAAACTCTTCAAGATAATTAGAAGGCAGTTACAGCTCAACAGTAATCAAGCCTTCTTCCTTGTGGTGAACTGAGCGTGTGTGAGACTATCTCCCCCGAGTATGAGAGTGAGAAGGATGAAGACCGTTCCTTATACGTAGTGTTCGCCTTCTGGGAGACATTCGGATCAGCACTGACTGGATGAGACTAGACCAATGCCCTAAAGTCTGTTAAGTCTTGACTGTTGTAATAGTAATAGTAATAGTAATAATAATAATAACAATAATAATAAAGTGGCACGTGAGAGAAAGACGCCATGTGACAGAGCTCAGGTGGAGAGGTTTTTTTATTGGAGGAAAGTGGATGGGAAAGTGGGGAAGGGGAGAAGAGAGACCGGTCCCTCTGGGGCCAGGAGCGGCAGAAGAAAAGAGGAGAGAAGAGGAGAGGGGAGGGGAGAGGAGAAGAGAAAAAAGAGAGAAGAGGAGGGGGGAGAGGAGAGAGAGAGAGAGAGAGAGAGAGACACTGGAGGTAAGCTAGGTCCACCTTCTAACAGGGAATGTCACAATGGCGCACAGAAGGTGCTCTTAGTGGCTGTAGCCGAGGACGTATCCTGCCAGGACCTCACGGGCAGACCAGTACAGATGCCTGAATACTAACACTGACCACCGAGAAAAAAAAAAAAAAAGGATTCCGCAGCTCACCACCTGCAGATCAGAACGTAGACATCCACCAAGGATGTTAGGAATTGCTTGTCGGCCAGAAACTGAGCTCCACGAAAACGCATTCAGCCTGTAAACTCATCTAAACTAGGCTATCTTGTGTTAGGAGGCTTAAAAACAAAATACTTCGCATCCTAAACTGCCAATAAAGCAAAAAAGAATAAATTCACAAGGTACAGAGGTTTCAGTGGCAGAAAATTACCAGATAATCCTGCCTACCTTGGTAACCTGGTCAAGGAAAACGCAGGTTCTTTTATTCTAATATTAATTGCCAAAAATAACTCATATCACACAGTACTCAATAAAATACATAAACATGTGTATGTGGTTACAGAATGAATGCAAGTTCAGCAACAACATAGCTTGGGACATTTCAGAGGTAGGCTAGAGAGTGGTCTACTGATCAGGTAACAGAGCCAAAGCACCCTGGGGAAGAAACTGCTGTTGAGGCGGCAGGAGAGTCGGGGATGAGGAGGGAAGAAGTCGTCAGTCACAGAGAGAGAACTAAATCTGGAGCTGTGAGAGACAGCCAGGCAGACCCCAGAGCAGGAGGGCAGAGGCTTGAGGAGGTTACACCAACGGAGGGGAGGGGGTGTAACAAATGGAACTGAAGCTCCAGGAACAAGCAGGAGTGCTCCACCTTGATGCGACATGGGTTATCAGGCAGTGCTGATACCCTTCACAGCACCATTGCGGCTGTCACTTTACAGAGTTCCAGTGAGGGAGTTGTACCCTTTTGTTGCTTTGGCATGTTTCATGAATTCTTGAGCCTGGTTTCTATAATATGATTTTAATATTCCCTTGTGTTCCTGTAGTCTCAACTCACCTGGATAAATTTATAGAATGCACCCATCCTACTCCCAGCAATCAGTAATTTATCGGTCTGTAATTCATGATTGATGTTATTTACTTACATATTACATGATGGACATTATTTGCTTATATATTACATGGTAGACCTTATTTACTTATATGCTACATGATAGACATTATTTACTTAATATTTACATAATAGAAGTTATTAGTTAATAGTTATTTAGTTATTTAGTTATCCACCCAGGAACACAATCCTCCATCCTGAAAACTGACTAAAAATCTGCTTGTAAAAAGGAAACTCTCAGAACAAGACACAGCCTGAAAAACCACTACTTTAGACAATAGGGAAGAAGAGATTAGGACATGGGCTGAGATCAACACTCATGAAGTTGGGAGGAGAGAACCAACTCCACAAAGTTGTCTTCTGACCTCACATGCACACCCACACATACACACACTGAAGAATAACAAATTGGTTAAGATTTTCAAAATATAACTAGTGAATGCACAAAATATGTTTAGGAATTTTTGGGTATTTTTCTAGTCATCTATTAACTATATGTGCTGGTTTGTCAATTTAACATAACCTAGAGTCTCTTGGGAAGGGAGAATCTCGGCTGAGGAATTACCTCCATCAGATGGGCCTTCAGGCATATCTGTTGGGTATTTCATTGACTAATGACTGATGTGGGAGGAACCAATTCACTCTGGGCAGTACCATCCATGGACGGGTGATTCTGGGAAAGTAAGCAAAACAAGTCATATAGAACAGGCCAATATGCCGCTTTCCTGTGTTTGCTGTCTCTGTCCCTGCCCTGAACTCTCTCAATGATGGACTGTTGTAGAAAGGAGGCCGCTTGTTTGTTCCCAGGCAACTCATAGACAGAAGGGCTTCCCATGCCAGACTGTCATCGGGATGTGCAAGGCAAATAGATTCTTTCTTCCCCTAGTTGTGTTGGGGCATGGAGTTGGTCACAGCATAGGGAGCAATCAGCACATGAGATCATCAGCAATACTGTGCTGCTTCTCTGTTGCTGATGTAAAATGCAATTTGTGGAAGAGAATAAAGGCTTCATTTTTCCTTTATGGCTCTAGCAGGATAGTCTTCACAGCAGGGAAGGCATGGCATCTGGACAGAAGCTGACTGGTCACACTTCATCTGTGCACAAGAAGAAGACGGGGAGAAGAGGAAGTCGAACAAGGCAACAAACTCTCAAAGTCCCCTCTCAGGAACTCCCTTCCTCCCGCAAGGCCGCACCTCCTGAAAGTTCTACACAGCACCACCAACTGGGGACCAAGTTTTCAAATTCATGTGCCTATGGGAGACATTGCTCATTGCAACTACCATAAGCAGAGAGTCATAAGAATGTTGGGGGGAAAAAAAAACAGTTTCCAACACAAAAATTACAGCTCTCACCTCAAAAGAAATATGTAGTAAGGAGGCCACTTGTTGGTTCCCAGCCACTTAGCCCCGAAATAAGCACACAGAAACTGTGCCCATTAGCTCTAGCTTCTTATTGGCTAACTCTTACATATTAATTTAACCCATTTCTATTCATCTGTGTATCGTCACATGGCTGTGGCTTACCAGGTAAAGTTTCCAGTGTCTGTCTCTGGCAGGGCTACATGGCTTCTCCTAACTCCACCTCCTTTCTCCCAGCATTCAGCTTAGTTTTCCCCACCTAGCTTTGTTTCCCTATAGCTCTACTATAGGCCCAAAGCAGTTCCTTTATTTATCAATGGTAATCACAGCATACAGAGGAAAATCCCACATCACCTCCCCTTTTCTGTTTAAATAAAAAAGAAGGTTTTAACTTTAACATAGTAAAATTACATATAACAAAATGGGTATCAAGCAAGACTTAGAGTTACAATATTTATATCTGCTTTGTCTTTTATTATAACTAAGAAAAACTATAGCTATAAATTCTTCAACTTCATCGAAGACTCCAGAGGGATACAATATTACCTAAGTTCATTGTAAGCAACTTTTAAAACTCTAGAATTGACAGAGACTTCTCACTGCCTGGACAGTCATCCAAAGTTTTTCTGTACTGTTGGGGCATCCATCTTCAGCCTACAGGCCCATAGTATCTGGTAGACTTTTC